TTCCTCAGACATTCTTGTTAAACCCTGGATTTGTGCTGGAAATGGCCCACCTTGATTATCATACACATTGTAAGGAGAGTGATCACTTTAGACAAGCTATTACCAGCAGGAAAGTAGGGTGGGGGGAGAGAAAACCTTTTGTAGTGATAAACACCCTTTTTTTCATGGTTTGTGTGCATAAAAACATCTGTATTTTCCACAGTATGCATCCGATGAAGTGAGCTGTAGCTCACGAAAGCTTATGCGCAAATGAATTGGTTAGTCTCTAAGGTGCCACAAGTACTCCTTTTCTTTTTGCGAATATAGACTAACACAGCTGTTACTCTGAAAGATTTCACACAGAAAACTAAGTATTGCTATGGACACACTCTCTCAGAAGGAACAATTCCCAAAGAATAGCGATGAGTGTATTTCACTAGAGGCTTTTTCAAAATGGAGATTTTTCTTCAAAACTCTATTCATAGTCCATAAAAATATAGTACTTTTAAAGAAGATGCCTCTTTTCAAGCACCTCTAGAAGGAAAGGTTGGAACTGCTTACAACTGCCATGTTGAAATCACCATTAGGGAGGATTTTGTGACTCTTTCAGAAACTTAAAATATTTTGTACTTGACTCTGTAGCAGTTTCATTTTTCAGATGGCACTTCATGTTATTGTCCAGAAATGGTGCAGAAGAGACATGAACGGTCTCTGTCTCTACTCCACCTTAAAATATCCAGGCTGTTGCTAAATTGTGTCACTTCTCTCTCTTCAACAGCTATCTTTTTCCCGCTGCTAAAAATTCCACTAACATAGCTTCCTCCTTCCTGGATCCCTGATTCTCCCCTTGCTTCCCTTTAGGGTATACAACCCATTGATGCAAACATCATCTTCTCCTGCCACTTGGATCATGTCCCAAGTTCATGTCTCCTTTCACATCATATTCAGATGCCTCATTCTCAGCATTCTGGATCTCCACTTCTCTTTATGACTGCTCTCCTTTCCTCCTCTTCACCTTCCTCTGTCCTACTCTGTAAACTCCACTTCCTAAATGACTTTATTTCATTCGCAACTGCACAGTTTTCCATGTCCCTCTATATATGCCTAGAAGAGTCTTCATCCTCTTGTAACTATACATTCTTCCTTCTCCCCTTTAAATATCTCCCAAAATTTGCATTTTCCAGCTTGTTTTCCATTACTGTTTCCTACGATGCTCCCTGTGCTATGCTGTACACTTGCTGCTATCCACTTGCTAGTATACACCTGCACCTGACTATGCTATTTTATGCATAAATATGTACTAATATATAAAATAAACAATTATAGTTAAAAATATTGTCCTGTGTTCTACCCACATCAGAAATAAAGCAATCAAAAAAGAATGTGAAAATACTGACATTGTTTTCTGTAATGATGCAAAATCATATTTAAATTTTTTTTTATCTGCAAATCAAAGTTCAATAACTTCCTGGCAAGAATTATTCTTACTGGTAAAATGACATCTAGAAATTTGTGAAATGAGAATTTGTGTGATCACTTAGATCTTTAACTACAGTCTCTAGAGGGCAGAAGAATGTCATTTAGGTCAATGTCTCCCAACCTTTCCAGATTACTGTACCCCTTTCAGGAGTCTGATTTGTCCCGCATACCCCCAAGTTTCATCTCACTTAAAAACTACTTGCTTACAAAATCAGACATAAAAATACAAAAACGTTACGGTACACTATTACTGAAAAATTGCTTACTTTCTCATTTTTACTATGACAGGTTTCAGAGTAACAGCCGTGTTAGTCTGTATTCGCAAAAAGAAAAGGAATACTTGTGGCACCTTAGAGACTAACCAATTTATTTAAGCATAAGCTTTCGTGAGCTACAGCTCACTTCATCGAATGCATACCATGGAAAGTGTAGAAGATCTTTTTATATACATACAAAGCATGAAAAAATACCTCCTCCCACCCCACTCTCCTGCTGGTAACAGCGTATCTAAAGTGACCACTCTCCTTACAATGTGTATGATAATCAAGGTGGGCCATTTCCAGCACAAATCCAGGGTTTAACAGGAACGTCTGGGGGGGAGGGTGGGAGGAAAAAACAAGGGGAAATAGGTTACCTTGCATAATGACTTAGCCACTCCCAGTCTCTATTCAAGCCTAAGTTAATTGTAACCAATTTGCAAATTAATTCCAATTCAATAGTTTCTCGCTGGAGTCTGGATTTGAGTTTTTTTGTTGTAATATCACAACTTTCATGTCTGTAATCGCGTGACCAGAGAGATTGAAGTGTTCTCCGACTGGTTTATGAATGTTATAATTCTTGACATCTGATTTGTGTCCATTTATTCTTTTACATAGAGACTGTCCAGTTTGACCAATGTACATGGCAGAGGGGCATTGTTGGCATGTGATGGCATATCACATTGGTGGATGTGCAGGTGAACGAGCCTTTGATAGTGTGGCTGATGTTATTAGGCCCTGTGATGGTGTCCCCTGAATAGATATGTGGGCACAGTTGGCAACGGGCTTTGTTGCAAGGATAGGTTCCTGGGTTAGTGGTTCTGTTGTGTGGTATGTGGTTGCTGGTGAGTATTTGCTTCAGGTTAGGGGGCTGTCTGTAGGCAAGGACTGGCCTGTCTCCCAAGATTTGTGAGAGTGTTGGGTCATCCTTCAGGATAGGTTGTAGATCCTTGCTAATGCATTGGAGGGGTTTTAGTTGGGGGCTGAAGGTGACGGCTAGTGGCGTTCTGTTATTTTCTTTGTTAGGCCTCTCCTGTAGTAGGAGACTTCTGGGAACTCTTCTGGCTCTATCAATCTGTTTCTTCACTTCCGCAGGTGGGTATTGTAGTTGTAAGAATGCTTGATAGAGCTCTTGTAGGTGTTTGGTCTCTGTCTGAGGGGTTGGAGCAAATGCGGTTGTATCGCAGAGCTTGGCTGTAGACGATGGATCGTGTGGTGTGGTCAGGGTGAAAGCTGGAGGCATGTAGGTAGGAATAGCGGTCAGTAGGTTTCCGGTATAGGGTGGTGTTTATGTGACCATCGTTTATTAGCACTGTTGTGTCCAGGAAATGGATCTCTTGTGTGGACTGGATCAGGCTGAGGTTGATGGTGGGATGGAAATTGTTGAAATCATGGTGGAATTCCTCAAGGGTTTCTTTTCCATGGGTCCAGATGATGAAGATGTCATCAATATAGCGCAAGTAGAGTAGGGGCGTTAGGGGACGAGAGCTGAGGAAGCGTTGTTCTAAGTCAGCCATAATAATGTTGGCATACTGTGGGGCCATGCGGATACCCATAGCAGTGCTGCTGATTTGAAGGTATACATTGTCCCCAAATGTAAAATAGTTATGGGTAAGGACAAAGTCACAAAGTTCAGCCACCAGGTTAGCCGTGACATTATCGGGGATAGTGTTCTTGACGGCTTGTAGTCCATCTTTGTGAGGAATGTTGGTGTAGAGGGCTTCTACATCCATAGTGGCCAGGATGGTGTCATCAGGAAGATCACCGATGGATTGTAGTTTCCTCAGGAAGTCAGTGGTGTCTCGAAGGTAGCTGGGAGTGCTGGTAGCGTAGGGCCTGAGGAGGGAGTCTACATAGCCAGACAATCCTGCTGTCAGAGTGCCAATGCCTGAGATGATGGGGCGCCCAGGATTTCCAGGTTTATGGATCTTGGATAGTAAATAGAATATCCCAGGTCGGGGTTCCAGGGGTGTGTCTGTGCGGATTTGATCTTGTGCTTTTTCAGGGATTTTCTTGAGCAAATGCTGTAGTTTCTTTTGGTAACTCTCAGTGGGATCAGAGGGTAATGGCTTGTAGAAAGTGGTGTTGGAGAGCTGCCGAGCAGCCTCTTGTTCATATTCTGACCTATTCATGATGACAACAGCACCTCCTTTGTCAGCCTTGAGGAAAGTATCTATATGAGCTGATGTACCCCCTGGAAGATCTCTGCGTACCTCCAGAGGTACATATATCCCTGCTTAAGAACCACTGATTTAGGTTACTTATGGTCAGTCACCACTTTGTCTGCAATGACAGTTTGAGAGTGGAATTGCAAAATGCACCAAAAGAGACAACATGGGTGAGGTAATACCTTTTATTGGAGCAACTTTGTTGGTGAAAGAGACAAGCTTTCTAACTTTATAGAGTCTTATTCAGGTCTGGGAAAGGTACTCAGAAGATCATAATTAAATACAAGGTGGAATACATTGTTTAGCACAAGTAGTTAACACATATTTGTAAGAAACCATTCAATGTGAAGTGGCCTGTTACACCTCTGCAGTAATAGGACAAAATAAAAGATATTACCTCACTCACCTTGTCTCTGTAATGTTTTGGGACCAACACAGCTACTACACTGCAAAATGCACCAAGAAGCTTTTCTTTTACCTGCTGCACCACATACATAATACAAGTGTGATAATCAGAGAAAATATTGGAACAGAGCTGGTCATATGAGTGGAGTTTTCTTTTCTGATCTGTGGTTACAATTCCAATTTAATAGGCTGTAAAAATGGAAGAATCTGAACTTTCTTTATTGGAAGATGCAATATGTTAAAGATGTGAATAATTTCAATTATTAAGATATATTCATTTTGTGAATTAAAGCTAAAGTTGGTTTTCCAAAGATTCCATCTTTTAAGAGGCTACGCTGATTTTCTCAGACCTCTTTCTTCAATCCTCAGAAGCCTGCAGGATTAAGCTCTAAGCAACTATTTGGACCCAATCCTGTATTACTTGTGTACCCTGAAGTCGATGCAGGCTTTTCAGTAGCAGAGGAACTAATTGTTGTTGCTTAAAGTTATTAAAATATTTTTACAGTATGTTCATTTTTGCTATTTCTATTCAATATATTGTTTTTGGAATGCTTAATCTTAATATGACAAATTCACCAAGCAGCTCTATCATATCCTATTTTTTTCAGCTTTGACAATGCTCCTGTACTCACAATGCTGCAGCCTGTAAATAATGTTATATCACTCTTCAAATCAATGTTATACTGAAAAAATAATTATAGTTAAAACCCACCTCATAATCTACTCTGAGAACAGCAAGTGCATCACATAGCTGCTGTTGGTAGCTTTGTCGAATTTTGACTTCTTTCTGCAATTCAAATTTTTAATGGGTTACTGAAACAATTATAATGGACTTTAAGAAAAACATTAGTTCTTATTGTTTTTCCACTGAACAAAAACCAAAATGTTGTCCAAATCCTCTGTTCTGGAAAAAAAGTTAATGAGCCAGTGCCCCTTTAAAACTTTTCTGTCCCTTTGTTGTTTATATCACTGGTATATAAGGATCTCTCATTTCCACATTTGGCTAAATAATTGTACTGTATACACTTCTATATAAATGGGTTCCATGCTGTTGAAAAGAAACAACGACTACTAAATCTTTCCAAAGGAAATACTCGAAATGCAACCAGTATATTTAAAAATATGCACATATGTACAAGGACTGTAAATCTGAAAATGTTTAAAAAGGGAACTCCATAAATTTCTCAATTTAAAATATGTTTTATTATTTATTGTTCATACTGATATCTTGGAAGCTTAAAACTAAACCCCCTTCCTTTACTGCTGTCTTCCCACTCATAAGCATGCACTGGACAGTTACTGTACGGTTCTCCATGAGCACTAGGACATTGGCAATTAGTTTGGTTGGTTAACAAAAAGAGTGTTAAAGCACTTATTTTGGAAGATAATACATAAAGAACTGCCTGGACTTTATAAACACATAAGAAAAGAGGTAGATTAAATCTTAGACCTATCAACTTTAATGTCCTTTTAATTTAAAGTTCTCACTATTCTAGCATGTTTCTTACTAAAGCTTAAGATGTTTTTGTAAACATTTTTACAAATGTTTATATGTAGATGTTTTCCATATAACTACCCACTACTTTTTAAAATGCAAATCTTTGGAAATCCACATTCATATTAATCAACATATTTGTGGATTAATTTTATTTTATACTATTGCATATCAATAATCTGCCCAAATATAGATGGTAGATGAATGAGAAATTGACATTTTAAATAGGTTACTCTGTACCTGTTTATGAAAAGCTTCAATGTCTCTCAGTCTGTCATTTATCTGTCTACAGAGATTTGAAGCTTGCTCTTGTATTTTTTCCTCATACCGTGCTTGAAGGACATTTTTATAGATCATAAAATCTTGCTGGATGGAGTCAGTGAACTAAAAATGTAAAGACTGATATTACATATACACTATAAAGGACATTTTTTCTATATAATCTTCTCTGCTGATACAAAATAAACTAATCAGAAAGTATTTGTGCTTTAATGATTCTGTTTATGTAAGACATTGGATGAGTGGCAATTTTGTTGACTGAAATACCTTGGCATCCTTCTAAACAGAGGACTACAAAATACTCTATCAGAAAACTTACTGACAAAAACCAAACTACTTAGTTACATAAAGCAAACTGTAATTGTCTCTGTAGGGAGAAACACAAATTATAAACAGTTATGAAAACAAATTATGTATTGTATTCTCAATGTCACCACTGACAATCTCGGTCACATGCTTTATCTTGAATATAATCATTGCATCATATGATCATTACTGTGGGATGTTAAAAAGTGAAGACTGGCATCAACAATACTGCAAGCACCTCATGGTATGGAAGAATCAGATTCATAATAGTGAAGTTATATGTCTGCCACTTTGGGTGGAATTAGGCGTGCTCTGAGAACGCCTACTGGCAAGATAGGCAGGGCAATGCCTACCTTCACCTGTTAGAGGATAGCACTGAGGGTTAGAAATGACAGGTATCTGGGTGCATGTCCTGGAGCAGAAACGTAGGCTCCTGGGACTTTTACAGAAAAAAAAGTTAGGCATTCAGGAATTTTAGGCACCTCCAGAGTCAGAGAGCAGCTGAACAGGGGTTTTAAGGATCTCAGCGGCACTTAAATTTTGGACTTAGGCGCCTAAGTTAGAAATGCAAGTCTTTTTGTGGATCTGGGCCCTAATGATAATCATATATCCTACCTATACTAGTATAACTGCAGATACAACATTATTAACATTTATTTTGTCATAGTGCCTAAAAGTCACAGCCAGGCTGGGTCCTATAGTGGTAGGTAGGCACAACATATTAAACAACAGCTCCTGCCTCAAATTGCTTCCAGTCTAAAAGACAAGCTATAATAAAGGAATGAAACAATGAGAAGGCCACAATAGGTGGTGGGGGAGACAGGGTAACAAATATAATAAGATGTATGCCATTTTTAGCCATTTCATAGCTGTGGTCAAAACTTGCCACTGCTTAGACATATTAGGTTGCAGTTTTCTGCATGCCCTATGGCAGAGATGAGTTTTGAGGAGGGATTTAGAGTATAGGAAGGATAAGACTAAATTGTCAACTGTTTTGAAAGTAAGGACAAGAAATTAGCATTATGGATCCAATGAAAAGGAATTAAAGGGCATGGGGGGGGATGATACAGTCAGAGCAATGAGCCAAGTTGAATGGACTTGAGAGGGCTGAGGTTGTAGACTTAGAGGCCAGAGAGGAGAAGACTGCAGTAGTCAAGGTGCTACATGATCAACGCTTGGAAAAGAATGTTGTCAGTATAGGCAGGAAGAAAAGTCAGATCTTATACATACTGTGCAAGAAGAAGCTGTAAGATGTAGAAGTGGCCTGGATGTGTGTGGGAGGAGTGGTGGAGGTGAAAGCTCACTGTCAATGGTGGGGCAGAGGGATAGAAGTGGGATTAAGGGTAGATACTGAGACTCTGTGGGGGATGGGAGTGGGCAGCGAGTTCCAGGCAGGGAAGGGGGTCCCAGCTGCTCCTTCCTGCTCTCCAGCCCAATCCTAGGCACTGAGGTGGCCACTTCAACCCCTCCAGGTCCCACTCTCACACCGACCCCTTCACACATGCATGTTTTTTACCCCTTCAATATTGCCACTGCAGAAGCACTAGCTCCCACTCCCCCTCCCATTTCTGCCCCCCCTACTGTAAGGATCAAAGGAAAAGGCCTGAGTCAAAGCAAAAGCCAATAAATTAAGGGCTTGAACAACAGGGAATATAGTGGTGTTGTCTTATGTGAAAGAGAAAGGAGTGAGTGGAGAGGGCTCTGGAGGAAAGATCAGGAGCTCAGTTTTGGCCATGTTATGTTTCATTCGATAGCTGGACACACACTAGGAGATGTCAGAAAGACAGGCTAAGAGTTTAGCTTGGATGAAAGGAGATAAATTTGGAGTAGGGAGTTGTATTTGTGAGTCATTAGCATGAAGATGGTAGTCAAAGCCCAGCTGGCAGCTGAGGTCACACAAACAGAGTGAAAGGAAGAGGGGGCCAAGAATGGAGTCCTAAGGGGCTTGAACAGAAAGAAAGAGAGGAAAGGAAAGAAGGAAGTTCCACTAAACGAGACTCTCAAGGAATGTCCAAAATTTGGGAGAATTAAGAGAGAACAGAGTCACAAAAGCCAAGGATGACAGCGAGTAATTAATGTGAACCTCCTTTGAAAATGAGCAAACACTCAGGTATCAAATCATTTGTATTTAATACAGTGTAACAGAACTTCTACGCTCCTTGATAATTGTCCTGTTCATCCCCTGAAGCACCTGGCGCCAGCCACTGTCAAAAGACAGGATAATGGGCTAGATGGATCATTGATCTGACCCAATATGGCCATTCTTATGTTCTTACATTTTAAGCACTGTAAGAAGGCATGATTGTGATAATTCAATTGACTGACTAAAGAACACTACTACTTGATAAGAAAATTTAATATTTTGAATGACGGAAGAACCCAGTGAAGAATCAGGAGAATAAGAGGGTTACAACTAAAGGTTGTGGCAGTGGTATTATAAAGACAGTCACATACTATGCACCTTAGAGTTCATGTAAGATAGAAATTGTTGATTTCAATCAAACATGAACAGACTTGATCAAAATAAGAGCAAAGCACTGTTTAATAATTATATAAAATCATTTTAAAACTTACTGAGCTATTTGGTGCAATAGTCTGCAGCAATAATCACAGCAGGTTAATGCACTATATTATAAATAAGGCTATGTTTTAGTCATGGGAATTTTTAGTGAAAGTCATAAACAGGTCATGGGCAGTAAACAAAAATTCATGGCCCATGACCTGTCTATGACTTTCACTAAAAATACCCCTGACTAAAACTTGGGTGTTCTGGGGGCGGGAGTGCCCCAGGTGCTCTGGGTGGGGGGTGGGCGGCAGTGGGCAGCCTGGGACCCACGCGGCTGTTGGGGGTGAGTGGGGGGAGAGAGGCAGCAGCACATGGCCCGGTCTGCTGCTGGAGGGCCGGGCGGTGGGGCACAGCCCAGGACCCCCACTGCTGCTTGCGGGGAGGAAGGACACAGCAGCCAGAGACCCCCACTGCTGCTGCTGGGGGTGTGTGCACACAATGGCCTGAGACTGACCCAGCAGCCTCAGGGTGGCTGGACCCCAGGCCAGCTGCACCTGCCACTGCACGGAGGTCCCGGAAAGTCATAGAATCCATGACTTCCATGACAGACTCGCAGCCTTAATTATAAAGTATCTCCTTCCCTCAGTTTTCCATTTGTAGCATTTTAAAGGAATGAAAAATGTAAAAAATAAATAGTGATATCTCATACTATTTTGTAATATGGGTTTGTTAGACATGAATTTGTTAGAGATGGGCTTGTTTTAATCCAATAGTAAACGTTTTTATCCAAATCTTTTATTTTTAAGCCTCTCAGCGCTTCTGCCAAAATCAGAGTAGTAAAGTGAAAGAAGACCTTAGTTACAACAAACCTTTCGCTACCCAGTTGATTTGAATATTACATTCCTATTTAATTCATCACATAATTGTTTTATTCATAATCTTTTTAAAGTAAGGGTATTACACAAGCTACTTTCTGGCATATACATACATAGCCAATTCACAGCTAGTATTAATGGAGCTGGGCCTATTTATTCCAGTGCTAAACTTCTCTTCTAGAGTCCTGGGCGTTAATATAAAAGGTTTACCATTTAAGTCTAAAAGTCTTCCCTTATGTTCATTCTCTGCTCACCATGTTTAAACTTTTTCTTTTTTTATATGCTTGATCAATCTTCTCATAGATATAATATGTACTCTGATAAGGGTAAACAAACTGTCTAGACTTTTATTCAGCTATTCCTATTTAATATAAATGTGAGTTATTGGCATATTTTAATGGAGAACTGAGATTTATGTAAGCTTAAATGAAACCACCATAACAGGACCAAAAAAAAGTTAGACTAGGCCCCCACCCCTCAACAACATAAAAGGTAAAGATGACTTTGACAGAAGATCTGTCCTACAACATGGTGAAGAATATCCTGAGACATATCCAAGAAGCTCTCTTACCTGTACTAGGGCTTGTGTAGTAGTAGTCAGCTCCTTTAGTTCTACTATTTCTTTGATATCTGTTTGAGTGGCATGATCTGTGATAAAATAGCCTACTTTTAAGTCATCTGAAATGGAAGGCCTAAAAAAAAACCAAAGTTTTTTTCATTTAAGAAAGATTACTAAATTAAGTAGTCAGTTAAGGCAATTTAACTTTAAGAACTGAAATTCAAAACAGTAGTGATCCTCCAAAGCACATATTTCTTATTGTTTTACTTACCTATCTAAGATAACAATTGGGTATCATTTGGGAGAATGGAGTAAGAAGTGTACTTACAATCTGTTTTCCCTTGTAATGTTTGTTTCATAAAGAAAAGTGTTTTTGATTAGACATCCAGACAAAAACTTCAGAACAAACTTAACGTTATTTTAAACGCTATAGAAAGAGAATGCAGAGAGGAAAGAATGTATTTTAGGACAATTCTTCTATACACAACACTAATAATTTTTCATACAGTTCAGGAGATCATACTTAATTTTAGAGTTGTGTGGGAACTAGATTTTCTGTTTCCGGGAAAATCATTTTTCTATTTTGGGACAAAACAAAAATGTTGAGATTTCCCACAAAACAAAATTCTGAAAAAAAAATTCATTTCAGGTCAAAAGTGTTTTGTTTAGATGTTTTATTCCGATTCTGGCATTTTAAATCTTATTTAGAATATTTAAAAAAACCTCAAACTTGTTTTGAAACAAAATACCTAAATATTCTGTTCTGAAAATGTCAAAATATGTTTCAACATTATTGGGACAACAGGCTAGGACAAATTCTGTTGTCAAGCATCCCGAGAAAGCCAAAAACAGTTTAGCCACGTGAAATGTAATCGCTGCCTTGTTCACAACCTGCCAACCTACACTTCAAAATATTGTTGGATGCACTGACTGATTCCTATGTCCAACCTGAGGATGAACCAACAATTTCCTTGTAAATGTCACTGAACGACATAAGTAGATTATACTTGCCTGCCTCAACTGCTTTGCTAAATCCCTCCCCTGGTGCCATTTAGCCAGTTGAGCCTCAAACTACTCTTCAGGAACAGTGCATGTGGCTAATTATGCTAGAGAAAAAACTAATTATATTCTTGAGGGACAATCAAATTGAACATTCAGGTTAGTCTTGGACAAGTCACTTTAAAGATATTAAGGGGCTGGGGAAGGAAGATTTGCTAGCCTGAGTACAAAGAATCTGTCAGTTAAAACTCTAAGGGAGAGGACCAAGTCTACTCATGTTCATGCAATACCTAACAGAAAGCGGTTTGGATCGAACTTTTTCTCTCTCCTTCATAAAGGGTAATAGAACAACATTCTTCCAGAAAGTGTTCCAAATGAGATCCTCTTTACAATGCTATGATTACAAATGTCAGCTTGTCAGGCACTTTGACCCACCAACCATAACGTGCCAAGGTCATGGCTAGTACTATTAATATGTTCAACAGACAAACTCTAGGGCTAATCCCAGTTCTGTCCCGGATTCATTATTTGGCCTCTGACAACTCATATCTCTGTCTCATATTCCCCATGGGACTGAGAGTCAAGAATTCTAGTTCTAATCCTGACTTTGACACTGACTACCCCAAGACAAGACACTTAACCCTTCTGGGTCTCATTTTCCACAGTTTAGAAAATGACTACTCATTGTCATCTTAATAATATTCTATGATTAGAAGAAAATGCCAAGTTTTGACTAGTAAGCTCTAGCTAGAAATGTAGCAAGTCCTTTGTCTGATAGACTGTTGAAGAAACTTCTGTTCTTCAACAATTTCCATGAGAGATAATGGAAAACAGAGTTATATGTAGTCAAGTAGTCCACAGGAGTCAGGAACATCCCAGAGGACAGAAGCTGAAAAGCAAAAGCTATGATCAAGAGTCTACCACAAAACTCTGTAGAAGATATCCAGTTTTATGATGTGACAATATTTTTAGTTTTAAATTGATTAGGTTTAGCTACCTATCCCTTAATTGGAAAGGTGCTTAAGATGATCAGTGTAGATTAGAGAAAAGGCTATGTTCAAATTACCTAATTCATAAAGAAAGAGCCTCAGAACAGGTTTGAAAGCATTCAGAGAGAACCATTTTGTGACCCTTAAAACATTTTGTTTACAAGCACAGAACACAATAACCTTGAAGTATTAAAGTGACACAAAAATGAATGATGTGAATAATTGAATTTTATTTGTTTAGCTGATTACCCCTTTTTTGCTTTCTGGCATTTTTCTTATAATTCCAATAAACCTAGATACATAAACAGATTCTCAGTGACATACTCATCCCCTCATCTAGAATTTAGAGTAACAGATTCGTCACTAGTCCTGGTCAATATATAAACAAGGATATAAGCGGCTAAAATATCAGTTTTATATTTGAAAGACTGCACCAAACTCATCAGCAGAATGCCCACTAGCATCTTAATGGGGTTCAGAATCAGGACTAAAGCATGGTGAAAGAGTATCATGCACACTACTCCCACGTGCACCACTACTCAGGTGGCTGGATGCATATTATAGGATTTTTGTCTCCTGTCATAAATATAAAGGGAAGGGTAAACCCCTTTGAAATCCCTCCTGGCCAGGGGAAAGCTCCTCTCACCTGTAAAGGGTTAAGAAGCTAAAGGTAACCTCGCTGGCACCTGACCAAAATGACCAATGAGGAGACAAGATACTTTCAAAAGCTGGGAGGAGGGAGAGAAACAAAGGGTCTGTGTGTCTGTCTATATGTTTTTTTTTCTGCTGGGGATAGACCAGGAATGGAGTCTTAGAACTTTTAGTAAGTAATCTAGCTAGGTATGTGTTAGATTATGATTTCTTTAAATGGCTGAGAAAAGAATTGTGCTGAATAGAATAACTATTTCTGTCTGTGTATCTTTTTTGTAACTTAAGGTTTTGCCTAGAGGGGTTCTCTATGTTTTTGAATCTAATTACCCTGTAAGATATCTACCATCCTGATTTTACAGGGGGGATTTCTTTATTTCTATTTACTTCTATTTTTATTAAAAGTCTTCTTGTAAGAAAACTGAATGCTTTTTCATTGTTCTCAGATCCAAGGGTTTGGGTCTGTGGTCACCTATGCAAATTGGTGAGGCTTTTTATCCAACATTTCCCAGGAAAGGGGGGGTGCAAGTGTTGAGAGGATTGTTCATTGTTCTTAAGATCCAAGGGTCTGGGTCTGTAGTCACCTAGGCAAATTGGTGAGGCTTTTTACCAAACCTTGTCCAGGAAGTGGGGTGCAAGGTTTTGGGAAGTATTTTGGGGGGAAAGACGCGTCCAAACAGCTCTTCCCCAGTAACCAGTATTAGTTTGGTGGTGGTAGCGGCCAATCCAAGGACGACGGGTGGAATATTTTGTACCTTGGGGAAGTTTTGACCTAAGCTGGTAAAGATAAGCTTAGGAGGTTTTCATGCAGGTCCCCACATCTGTACCCTAGAGTTCAGAGTGGGGGAGGAACCTTGACATCTCCTAAAAACAAACTATTATTTTAGCCACTGCTGGAGGCAGATGGAAATACTCAGCTTCCTACTGAATCACTGGGCAACACATCCTATCACACATGTTCTTTAACTGTTGCTGAGTCAGATCCTACTTATCTTTTGACATTTAAAAGGATCATAACATAAGGATGGGGATAGTGGAGGGTTAAAATGTTCATTTTCTTTGAGAAAAAAAAAGATATTGTATTTATCTCACACACAGGTCTTTAGTCATACCAAAATAATGCTACATTGAGGAACATTGCACAACAGATGTCAAGCAATAGTAGGCACAACTCCTTGTAATCTTTAAAATCTTACACAAATATAAATAAAGCATTTTGAAACAGAGTTGTAAGAATAAGGTCATGTACTGCCAAGCACTGATTTAAAAGCTATTTTCGGATTATTAACAGTACATAGGGGCGATTTAATATAATTTAATCTTCCGCCGTCATTTTAGAAGAATAGGTCTATGAGGGTGAATTGGTATTGCTTACAAATAGCTAGTTGGTATTTTTAATTTGAAAGGATTTCTCACAACGACCGAGAGCAGATGTACAATCCTCTGGCTTGAAACTCCCATGAAACAAGTTAGTGCATACCTTGAAGGAGCTCTTCAAAAAGGCCTTTGGAAAAAGGAGCATTACAAAAAACAACCACCACCAAGCAGTTCTTGTGTTATAAAAAAACCTTTAATGCTAATTCTCAGAGTTTCACAACTGTTTTTTAAGCATAGACAGTAAAAATATTGCTAGTGTCAAGGTGCCCTATGTCCTCTACTCAGTTGGAGGGAGTAAGGCTAGGTACAGCAAGGCAGCAGTTCCACCAAACAAGGTACCAGCTCACGCTGTTCCCACCACAATGAAGAGCCAGATGTTCTCCTCCTGTATCCCTGGCATTCGTTGGTCCCCAAGTCCTCTCCACTCACTCACCAGCTCCCCCGCCTCCCTCAGATACCCTGCCCACCTCCTCCCCTCCCAGCTCCCCCGCCTCCCTCAGCTGCCCCGCCACCTCCACCCCTCCCAGCTCCCCCGCCTCCCTCAGCTGCCCCGCCACCTCCTCCCCTCCCAGCTCCCCCGCCTCCCTCAGCTGCCCCGCCACCTCCTCCCCTCCCAGCTCCCCCGCCTCCCTCAGCTGCCCCGCCACCTCCTCCCCTCCCAGCTCCCCCGCCTCCCTCAGCTGCCCCGCCACCTCCTCCCCTCCCAGCTCCCCCGCCTCCCTCAGCTGCCCCGCCACCTCCTCCCCTCCCAGCTCCCCCGCCTCCCTCAGCTGCCCCGCCACCTCCTCCCCTCCCAGCTCCCCCGCCTCCCTCAGCTGCCCCGCCACCTCCACCCCCTCCCAGCTCCCCCGCCTCCCTCAGCTGCCTCGCCACCTCCACCCCTCCCAGCTCCCCCGCCTCCCTCAGCGCCCCGCCACCTCCACCCCTCCCAGCTCCCCCGCCTCCCTCAGCGCCCGCCACCTCCTCCCCTCCCAGCTCCCCCGCCTCCCTCAGCTGCCCGCCACCTCCTCCCCTCCCAGCTCCCCCGCCTCCCTCAGCTGCCCCGCCACCTCCACCCCTCCCAGCTCCCCCGCCTCCCTCAGCTGCCCGCCACCTCCTCCCCTCCCAGCTCCCCCGCCTCCCTCAGCTGCCCCGCCACCTCCACCCCTCCCAGCTCCCCCGCCTCCCTCAGCTGCCCGCCACCTCCTCCCCTCCCAGCTCCCCCGCCTCCTCAGCTGCCCGCCACCTCCTCCCCTCCCAGCTCCCCCGCCTCCCTCAGCTGCCCGCCACCTCCCCCCTCCCAGCTCCCCCGCCTCCCTCAGCTGCCCGCCACCTCCTCCCCTCCCAGCTCCCCCGCCTCCCTCAGCTGCCCCGCCACCTCCACCCCCTCCCAGCTCCCCCGCCTCCCTCAGCTGCCCGCCACCTCCTCCCCTCCCAGCTCCCCCGCCTCCCTCAGCTGCCCGCCACCTCCTCCCCTCCCAGCTCCCCCGCCTCCCTCAGCTGCCCCTCAGCTCCCCCTTCTACCTCGGCTCCTCCCTCAGCTCCTCCCCCTCCAGGTCTGCGTGTTCACCCCACCGAGGTGCCAGCCCCGCCCCGGGATTCTCTTACCGGCAGTCGGCCTCCAGCTCCTCCAGGCAACAGGGCAGCGCCAGGAGCTCTAGGATGTGCGGAGACAGGCTGAGCTTCCGCCCGACCGAGATGCTGCTCATGGCTGGGCGCGGAGGCTCCGGCCGCGTCTCCGCTAGAGGGTCCGGGAGCGCCGCAAGAAAGGGGTCAAGCGTCCGATACCATGGCAACTAGCGCCCCGCCTCACCTCCCGGACACATTATTAATTGGAGGACAGAGAAGTGACGCCACTTCCGCTGACAAATAGGGGAGAGTGGAGAAGGGGCGTCTGAGGACGTCAGACTCTGAGCTGCGGTGACGCAATCTCTGGAAGCCCCCTTCTAGCTATTAAATTCCCGCACTTCACCTCACAGAGTTACTCCCCCACCCCTCTCCGGGACACTCGCAATAACCCCCACCCCACACGCGTCCACCAGCCCTCCCGTTTAACCTCAGTGACATCAGGCCACGCAGGACACCTGCCAACATATTTCCACACCAACCATATTCCAGCTCCTTCTCCTGCAGTGACACCACTCCCATCTATCTGCCTCCACTTTCCAGTGACCTCTTCATACCTGCCAGCCCTCCCTCCGAGGAGCACTCCACCCATCTAACCTCCCTCTACTAGTGCCAACCCTACAACTAACTACAGCTCTGCCTCTCACCAACTTTGCTACCTATCCTCCTCTCACCCTGTGATCGATACCCACCAGTCTAGGAAGTTCTAGGAAGAGCTGCCGTCTCTCCTTCAAGAGCAGGAGGCCTTGCTGTAATTGGTAATGGGGTGCAGCAACAAAGCATCAAATAAAAAAGAAAAATTTGACATAATTGTGCTTGTGATGTGTGGGTATGTGGTTTTTTTGAGGGGTTTGGTTTTAAATCAGTTTTCTTAATCCTATATTTAGTTTGGTTGCCAACTTCATTAAGGAATTTAGTGTACTAATAAGTATGTAACATAAGTGCTTCGAATATGTGCCAATATGGATTCTGCTGTAGGTGTGCATGTACCTAATGCACACAAGCTCAGAATGTTTTGAATACTAGCGCCTGGCAGAGCTGTGCATAAAGGGTGGCGTGGTCTTGACCCTCCCTCAGTTCCTACTTATCACTTGTGACAGGGAGATGGAATCTGGACTGTGTCTGACCTGTTCCTGAACTTCAGATCTCTGTTTTGTTGAAGAAACCATCTTTAATTCTTTGCATTAAATACTTTTATTAGACTTTTAGACATTCCCCCTCCCCCAACAAAGAAACCAGGTGGGATGAGACTGTTTGGACCAACTGCTAACTATGGTGAACTTGAACCCCACTGGGTGTAAATCCTGTCCTTCTTTTGATGCCTAAATGCCCTGAATAGATGGACACTGCAGATGCCTGGTCTGTGTCAGGGAGGGTCACATCCCCAACTAGTGTTCCTTCTGCCACTCATTTTCTTCCTGCATCAAAAATCCCAAGATTTGAGGCTCAAGATACATCTCTTGGAGCAATCCATGAACGTAGCATCCGATCTAAGAGCAGAGATACTCTCCCTCCCAGAACCAATAAGACTGTCTTCGTCAAGTGCCCCAACTACTGGGCACTGCACCTCAGTTTGAGCAGGGAGAAGAAGCCAAAAAGGCACCTAGACTATTGGGACCAGAACCAATATCCCTGATGCTGATCATGCCAACCTCGGAACACAGAGAGAAGGGCACTCCCACACCAAGCACAAACACAGCATGGAACAGTCAGTGCAACCATCCTGCAGAGAGGACTCAAAGCTCAGAGAGAAGCCCCTGAAGTCCTCAGCATTGACAAGGGATAGCGCCAAGGCACTAGCAGCAAAAAAGACCCAAGAGATGGTTACACCAGTCCTGACATCAACACCAAGATTTATGCCAGTATCAACCCTAGAACTGGAACACTTCCCAGCATAGGTACCCACTTTCTAACATGCCCGGTGGGTGCTCCCACCAAACTCTGCCCCAGACCCTGCCCCACTACACCCCTTATCCCAAGGCACCACCCCCACTCTGCCTCTTCCTACACCCACCCCACCACTTCCTGCCTCGTTCCACCCCCCCCGAGCACGCCCCACCCGTGCTGCTCCCCCTCCCACCCAGTGCCTCCTGCATGGTGTGGAACAGCTGATCACGGCAGGCGAGAGGCACTGGAGAGGAAGGGAAGGTGCTGATAGGGGGGCTGCCAGTGGGTACTAAGCATCCACCATTTTCTCCATGGGTTCCCCAGCCCTGAAGCACCCATGGACTCGGCGCCTGTGCTTCCCAGTACTGAGATATGTCTTCAGGGAGCCCCCCTTACCTCTTCTCTTGGCACTGTAATACTCGCAGTGGTAGTGCCAGAGCTTAAGTACTAACCTAAGGGCAGACTATTAAAAAAAACCAGGGCACAAACCCCAAATTGGTTGTGAGTTCTTAGATTTCACTAACCAACTGCATCAAGTGCAAACTCCTCAGGTATATTAAAAGCCTTAAACAGAGTCACAGACGAAGTCCCCTTGGATACTCCACTCTGTTTTGCCACCCAGGTGAGTTCATCTCTGTGACAGGTGGCCTTCAAGACCAATATTCACAGCAATGTTCAGGTTACTTTTAGTCGTGAAGGATCAGTCAATTGCTCCTTCGATCTCACACCAAGAGACATTGCTTGTTGCAAATCCTATAATAAACTTTATGAAGATTTACTAAAAGGGAAAGGAAACTAGATAGTTATTTACAGGGTTAAAGCAAGCAACAACAAAAAAGACATGAATGAGTTGCAGTTTTAGGTTTTAATAGGTAATAGAGGCATCTATAATCAACAAGCTCTATTTGTCCTTTAGGGTTAACCCAAACTAAGCAGCAGACGATCTCTTGCTTATACTCAGGAAACACCTTACCTCTCCAGAATCCCAGCAACATAGAAAGCCTTAGTTTCTTTTGTTTGGGGTTTGCATCCCCCTCCTGCCACGTGCTCTCAGATGATGGGAGGAGTCCATTTGCATGACTCCTCTTTCCTGGGGAGTAGGAAAAAACCCAGAGTTTTTAGTCTTTTTGTTGATGATTCCTCAATCCAGATATAGGGAGTTTTCAGCTGTAAGATCCAACCCTAGCCTGTGTGATATCAATGGGACTCCTTTTTCAGGAGCGGCATAACAATTTTTGTAGAAGAGCAGCTCGTCACATGTCCCTCTCCTGTATGGTGAGTCATACAGACCCAGAAGCTCACACTACACCCACTCAAATACTACATTATAGTTGTAATGTAAATACAGATGGAATACAAATATTACAAGAAAGATTAATGCATGCAGCAACTCACAAGCATTCAATAGACTCAAAACAGACATTTTCTTATCATTCTAATACCTGTCCTATCAATATTAATCCACAAGTGATCCAGACAGATTTCAGCTATGTATCTGTCAATGTTCATTTGAGACATGGAGACCTTGGCATGAGCTGGCACCTGCTCTGCCAGCATCACAAGCTCCACCAACATCAGCACCAGAACCACATCCATTACTACCACCTTTTTCAGACAGCTATTTCTTCTCCCCTGCTTTGAGCAGGGAACCATTGCCCGGGACACAAGAAGAGTACTGCAGGGATATTTCAGGGGCTTCTGGTATCAAGCTCCAATAAAGGACTGGCAATGGATGAGCCTCCCATAGTCTGGCCACTACCAACACAACCTGTTGCCATGGCTGTACTGGCCTTAAGGAACCCACCTTCCCACAGATTCTGGGCCACTTCCCATGTCTTGGGAGAAAGGAGGAAATCTCTTTCACTGCCAGCATCACTGGCTAGAGTGCCATCACCAGAACCAAAGGGACCTCCTTGGGAGGTGACAGAGGTAGCTTAGGAGACACCCAGCTATCCTCCCTGCCTAACAAAAAATCCTCCTCCTCCCCATATGAAGCAGTCATAGTGGCCCTGACAATGGTTGTAGGTGACTTCCGAGCTTCCCAGAAGTTGCTCTCAATGTAGCAGACACATGGGACATTGAAACAATGCTGATCCAAGAGGATGCCCATAAATTGTTCAACCTCCTCAGCTCCTCTGCACTCACAAGAATTGTCCTTCCAATCAATGATGACATTCTTGACCCAGCAAAGGGTCTGTGGACTAAGCCAGCCTCACTCCCTACAATTTTGAAACTAGTAGAAAAGCACTATCAGGTCCCACCAAAGGGCTTCAAGCTCTTGTATGTGTACGCAACTCTGGGGTCACTCATTTCTGCAGTCTAAAGAACACCAGTTCTACTAGGGGACTCTGAAAGACAATGACCCCAAGAAGTTGAATACAATAAGCTTTATTGCTCAAAGATAAACAATTAAGTGATGTTAACAAAGTACAAATTCCTGATCTGGGTGAGAGTGACCCCCTTCCTCTCTCAGCTTCTGGTCCTTGCAGCAGCTCAGACCTGGGCTCTAGCCTGAGTCTGAATGTCTGCACTGCAATTTTATAGCCCCACAGCTCAAGCCCAAGTCAGCTGGCACAGGGTAGCCACAGGCGTTTTATTCCAATGTTGGCATACCCCGTGTAGGATAAATATGAATGTAACCCCCAAGGAGATTACCTAGATTCCTGGGGCTCTGTCTGCTGACAGTTTAGGGAAAGGCACACTGTCCCTGGTAGGGAGGGGGAGCTAAGGCAGACTCAGAGTCTGCCTGGCAACCAATAGGGAGTGAGATGCCCTTCACAGGGAGCTCAGGAAAGGGGAGAAGCCATTTTTTGAGACAGTCTGGAGCCAGTCAGGGCAAGGGCAGGACTTTCTGTGTGGGGAGCTCGTGAGTCCCATGCCTGCAGGCAGGGTTCCCCCTGAGAACTGGCCTCTAGGGACCTGAAAGCAAGATCCCTCAGCTGGGCTTTTCCCTCTCCACTGATGGCTCCCAGTTTGTACAGTTTTTCTGGGAAACTTCCCCAGCCAGGGTGCATTAGCCCTCCAGCTCCCTAGGTGAGACCAGTCAGCACATGGTCAGCTCTACTCTGAATGCTAGTCCAGGGTTGCTACCTGCGGTGAGTGTGTCTGGACGCTGTGGTAGGAGACTACAGTTTGGATTTTAGTATAAGTATGTAATCTGCACCTTGAGCCCTGCACCCTTTGTGGTAAGGGGAAATCCTGGGACCAGGAGCAGCCTGACTCCTACCTGAAGAGGATCCCTGCCAGCAGAGATCAGCCCCTCTGCAGTGACTGAGGAGTCCAGAGTCATCTCTGAAGCTGAGGATCATTCATGGAGTTTGTGAGTGCACCATCTTTTAGTCAGTAAGGGAATTTGTTTTGGGGACCCCCTACTCCCTGAAATGTGTCCTCAAGCCAGGGAGTAAGGGTTTGGGGATTTTATAGCCTGCTGTATATTAAACCTGTGGAGGGACTTACCACCTCCTCCCACTTGTGAGTCCTTTGGGCTGTACTGAACCCAGTCAGCAACACTGCTAAAACACTGCAGAGAAGATATTGTCATCGGTCATCAAGGGCCCCAACAAAGTATGCAAACCAACGGGACACTAATCTTACATTTGCTACATCAGGTTCCATGACTGGAGAAAGTCACAGGTATTATCAGCATGGGCACCAGTGACCCTAAGAATAGTGTTTTACCCTGTTATGTTATATTTGTCTCCTGTTTAATACAGGTTTCAGAGGAACAGCCGTGTTAGTCTGTATTCGCAAAAAGAAAAGGAGTACTTGTGGCACCTTAGAGACTAACCAATTTATTTGAGCATGAGCTTTTGTGAGCTATAGCTCACTTCATCAGATGTTATACCGTGGAAACTGCAGCAGACTTTATATACACACAGAGAATATGAAACAATACCTCCTCCCACCCCACTGTCCTGCTGGTAATAGCTTATCTAAAGTGATCAACAGGTGGGCCATTTCCAGCACAAATCCAGGTTTTCTCACCCTCCACCCCCCCACACAAATTCACTCTCCTGCTGGTGCTAGCCCATCCAAAGTGACAACTCTTTACATAATCAAGTCGGGCTATTTCCTGCATAGATCCAGGTTTTCTCACATCCCCCCCACCCCCATACACACACAAACTCACTCTCCTGCTGGTAATAGCTCATCTAAACTGACCACTCTCCAAGTTTAAATCCAAATTAAACCAGAACATCGGGGGGGGGGGGGGGTAGGAAAAAACAAGAGGAAACAGGCTACCTTGCATAATGACTTAGCCACTCCCAGTCTCTATTTAAGCCTAAATTAATAGTATCCAATTTGCAAATGAATTCCAATTCAGCAGTTTCTCGCTGGAGTCTGGATTTGAAGTTTTTTTGTTTTAAGATAGCGACCTTCATGTCTGTGATTGCGTGACCAGAGAGATTGAAGTGTTCTCCGACTGGTTTATGAATGTTAGAATTCTTGACATCTGATTTGTGTCCATTTATTCTTTTACGTAGAGACTGTCCAGTTTGACCAATGTACATGGCAGAGGGGCATTGCTGGCACATGATGGCATATATCACATTGGTGGATGTGCAGGTGAACGAGCCTCTGATAGTGTGGCTGATGTTATTAGGCCCTGTGATGGTGTCCCCTGAATAGATATGTGGGCACAATTGGCAACGGGCTTTGTTGCAAGGATAAGTTCCTGGGTTAGTGGTTCTGTTGTGTGGTATGTGGTTGTTGGTGAGTATTTGCTTCAGGTTGCGGGGCTGTCTGTAGGCAAGGACTGGCCTGTCTCCCAAGACTTGTGAGAGTGTTGGGTCATCCTTTAGGATAGGTTGTAGATCCTTAATAATGCGTTGGAGGGGTTTTAGTTGGGGGCTGAAGGTGACCGCTAGTGGCGTTCTGTTATTTTCTTTGTTAGGCCTGTCCTGTAGTAGGTAACTTCTGGGAACTCTTCTGGCTCTATCAATCTGTTTCTTTACTTCTGCAGGTGGGTATTGTAGTTGTAAGAAAGCTTGACAGAGATCTTGTAGGTGTTTGTCTCTGTCTGAGGGGTTGGAGCAAATGCGGTTGTATCGCAGAGCTTGGCTGTGGACGATGGATCGTGTGGTGTGGTCAGGGTGAAAGCTGGAGGCATGCAGGTAGGAATAGCGGTCAGTAGGTTTCCGGTATAGGGTGGTGTTTATGTGGCCATTGTTTATTAGCACTGTAGTGTCCAGGAAGTGGATCTCTTGTGTGGACTGGACCAGGCTGAGGTTGGTGGTGGGATGGAAATTGTTGAAATCATGGTGGAATTCCTCAAGGGCTTCTTTTCCATGGGTCCAGATGATGAAGATGTCATCAATATAGCGCAAGTAGAGTAGGGGCTTTAGGGGACGAGAGCTGAGGAAGCGTTGTTCTAAATCAGCCATAAAAATGTTGGCATACTGTGGGGCCATGTGGGTACCCATAGCAGTGCCGCTGATCTGAAGGTATACATTGTCCCCAAATGTGAAATAGTTATGGGTAAGGACAAAGTCACAAAGTTCAGCCACCAGGTTAGCCGTGACATTATCGGGGATAGTGTTCTTGACGGCTTGTAGTCCATCTTTGTGTGGAATGTTGGTGTAGAGGGCTTCTACATCCATAGTAGCCAGGATGGTGTTATCAGGAAGATCACCGATGGATTGAAGTTTCCTCAGGAAGTCAGTGGTGTCTCGAAGGTAGCTGGGAGTGCTGGTAGCGTAGGGCCTGAGGAGGGAGTCGACATAGCCAGACAATCCTGCTGTCAGGGTGCCAATGCCTGAGATGATGGGGCGCCCAGGATTTCCAGGTTTATGGATCTTGGGTAGTAGATAGAATATCCCAGGTCGGGGTTCCAGGGGTGTGTCTGTGCGGATTTGATCTTGTGCTTTTTCAGGAAGTTTCTTGAGCAAATGCTGTAGTTGCTTTTGGTAACTCTCAGTGGGATCATAGGGTAATGGCTTGTAGAAACTCGTGTTGGAGAGCTGCCGAGCAGCCTCTTGTTCATATTCCGACCTATTCATGATGACAACAGCACCTCCTTTGTCAGCCTTTTTGATTATGATGTCAGAGTTGTTTCTGAGGCTGTGGATGGCATTGCGTTCCGCATGGCTGAGGTTATGGGGCAAGTGATGCTGCTTTTCCACAATTTCAGCCCGTGCACGTCGGCGGAAGCACTCTATGTAGAAGTCCAGTCTGCTGTTTCGACCTTCAGGAGGAGTCCATCTAGAATCCCTCTTTCTGTAGTGTTGGCAGGGAGACCTCTGTGGATTAGTATGTTGTTCAGAGGTATTTTGGAAATATTCCTTGAGACGGAGACGTCGAAAATAGAATTCTAGGTCACCACAGAACTGTATCATGTTCGTGGGGGTGGAGGGGCAGAAGGAGAGGCCCCGAGATAGAACAGCTGCTTCTGCTGGGCTGAGAGTATAGTTGGATAGGTTAACAATATTGCTAGGTGGGGTGAGGGAACCACTGCTGTGGCCCCTTGTAGCATGTAGTAGTTTAGAAAGTTTAGTGTCCTTTTTCTTTTGTAGAGAAGCAAAGTGTGCGTTGTAAATGGCTTGTCTAGTTTTAGTAAAATCCAGCCACGAGGAAGTTTGTGTGGAAGGTTGGTTCTTTATGAGAGTATCCATTTTTGAGAGCTCATTCTTAATCTTTCCCTGTTTGCTGTAGAAAGGATCTTGATCAGGTGATTCCGCAGTTTCTTTGAGAGCGTGAGGCACAAGCTGTCAGCATAGTCTGTGTGGTATGTAGATTGTAATGGATTTTTTACCTTCAGTCCTTTTGAATACATTGTATGTATTTGTTTTATTTCTTGGGAGTCTCCAACTATCTGGCTAGTAAGTGGGGGTTACTTTGTGGTTAGAATTTTCCTCCCAAGCTGCCCTGGTGACCCTGCCAGGAAGGAGCAAGTGGGGGGGTGGTGGAGGCTCCGCCAAATAAATTCATAGGGAAAAATACAGAGGATAGACGCTGCTGAGTGGGTGGCAGGATGCAGAAGAACCCAGACCTGTCCCATAAAACCTGTAAGCAGACTGGCATTAAAGAAGGTAATCGGGTAGAGAAGGGGCACTACATGAAATTCAGGAATTAGGGTTATCTTAAGTTTGGTTAAGGAAATATGAGTTGTAAAGAAAAGTCCTGACCAGCAAGTAGAGGGAAAGCCTTGAAAATAATGAATTAAAAGGCCAGAAGGCATGAAGTAGGGAGATGTCTGGTTCAAAGAATAACTAATGAAATAACAGAAGGTTTCTAAAAAGAAGGCTTCCGACCAATATGGGTGATTGCAAATGGTTTTAAATAAGACAGAGGATCTGTGTTAAAATGAGCCAATATGGCTCTTCCAACTACACATGTCAGAGTTATCTCAAAATTAGGGCCTATGTGAACCCAGATACAGAAGAAAAAGTGTTGGTCAGCAAGAAAGAGTGGAAGAGATAGTAAGGCAAGACCTTGGGAAGAAAGCAGGCTGTAAGCCCCCCTCGATTTAGTCCATTTGTAAGGACTTGATCAAATGCTTACAACTGTTGTGTTACTGTTTGGACATAGTAAATTGCTTATTATGTAGACTTTTTAGGCATGTTTAGAGTAATAGTATTAATACCTTTTGGCCTTTGAATTTAATAAAGAAATGTATGGTTAATGTTGTGGTAATAACCTGCATAAAATAATAATAATTCCAACACCCTGACAAGCCTCAATTGTGCCCTCTCCTTGTTCACCTGGCTGGGCCTCCTGGTGAAGTATGAAAAATCATCTCTCTCACCCCATCCCTGATGATAAGAGTTCATAAGGGCTATGATAGGTCCCACCACAGGAAAGGCTTACTTACCTCAAGACAGATTCCTCACTCCCCAGTTATGACTGAATACAGTGATTTTATACCTGGCTATACCAGGATGGAATTGCCTTATGTTATTAGCCCATATGTCCATGTGTATATATGTGACCCTGTTTGCCAGACCTTGCCTGATGCTCCTACAACTCTGGCTCAGGTTGGTCTACTTTTCTGCAAAGTATCAGATAAGCAAGACCACTTTAATTCCATTCCATGTACTTGAAACACTGACCTGGTGGCTGCATTACAACAGAAAGGGGGCATTTGTGGCCTCTTCACCATCCAGCGCATTACTCATGGAGGTGTCTGGGATGGGCTTGGTAGCCCACCTGGATCATCTTCAAATACAAGGGACAAGGTCTCTAGAGGAAGTGAAACTATACATAAAGGTCTTAGAGTTCAGAGCCATCAGAGTGAAGTGCATGGAGTTCCTCCAGGTCCTACGACACTCTGTAGTACAGATACTGACAGACAATATGTCTCAATGCACTACATAAACAAGG